GGGGGGAGAGAGAAAGGTCGGGCAAGTAAAATGGAGGGGGGTCATATGCCGCTGACCCGCGCTCGATCACAGCCCAGCAGAACACCACCCCATGAGTCTGTGTGCGTGGGTAGACGCGCCAAATACCAACGCACCGGGGCCTGATGCCGCGCCGCGTGATCGGCCTTGTCTAGCGATCTGGCTGGCGGCCCGCCGGGCCCCTTTTTTGTGGCCGGGCCGAACCGGATCCCGACCTCCGAGGCCGATGATGCTATCACTGGGGGGCGCCCCGTCTTCTCGGGCTTGGGAACAACCCCCTCGCCCCCCCCCCCCTCCCCCCCGGGCCAGATCTCGCACACCTTCGGCAGCGACAACGACGACAGCGCCGTCGGGTGGTGACTAGGGCGCCGGCCGGGGTCGCCGCACCCGGCGGGGGCCCTGGCAGGTCGGCAACGTGCATCGGTCTCTCTGAAGGGGTATGTGTATATTATATCTCGGGCGCATCGCGCAGAGAGCGAGCAGCGGAGAGAGGCAGGGGGAGGGACAGACAAGGAATGTCTCTCTGGGCCTTTCCCAAGCTTTTCTTGGGCAAAGGTCCGCGCATCGCGGGAACAGAGAGGATACAAGGAACAGCAGCAGCAGCAGCAGCAGCAGCAGCAGCAACAACAACGACAGGGAAGGAGGGGCCACAAGGGGCCTGAGCGAGTTGCCGCGCATGGCTTGGCACGCGCTCTCGCCCGGGCCCCGGCCACCAGACAAGTGCACGCACATCTACTTGGGCGACAGTCCAAGAAGCCGGGCTCCGCGGTTCAGGAGCTCCGAGCGCCAGAGACGCAGCTCCTTGGCGCTGGAGGACCCGATCATGCCGGTATTCTCCTGGGCCCGGCGGATCAAGTACGGCAGCACCAAGCGAATGGGCCCATAGGGCACGTACTTGTAGATGGCATAGCTAAAAAAAAGCGTGGACCAACAACAGCAATCCGAGACAAGTTTGGTGACATGGTTTGGCAAGGGGTCAGAGCGAGGCCTAGCAGGCTCACAAGTCGTTTGAGGGCAGCAGCGATGTGCGCATCAACCGGACAGAGAAAGGGACCGAGGAGGCCCAGCAGAAGGATTTGGCGGCAGGTAACATCCCCCCCCCCCTTCTCCCCCTCGTCTCCTGTTCAGGGCGCCCCGTGGCGGCCAAATTAACCTCCTCCCAGAGAATGGTTCCCACCCGGGAGAGTGGCGGTGGTGGTGGTGGTGGCGGCGGCGATAGGGGGCCGCGTGAGTGGGCCGGGGGCCGGGCAAGGGCCAAGGATGGTGGCTGTGGGTATGTGTGTGGGTGCCTGTGTCTGTGTCTGTGGGTGTGTGGCAAACGACACCAGTGATGCCACATGCCCGTCCCTCGCCCCCTCCCCCCAGGGATCCACAGCACGGCAGGGCGGGGGGGGGGGGGGGGGGGGGGGGGAGGAAAAATGGGCAGGGGGGCGCAAGACAAACTCACAGCCTGCCACCGGCACAGCAGCCGCGCTTTCACCCCATGACTTGAGAGTATTTTCCAGGTGTGAAAGAACGCCCGAGCCCCCATATGCCAGCGAACAGGCCGGGTCCACTTCTACAGGCACGCACGAAAGTGCATTTACCCAGCCACACACACACACACACGCACTCACACGCACGCACTCACACAGAAAGAGCAACTCGCTTGTCTCCCGAACCGACCGCCGCCGCACTGGGCCCCCTCCTCTCGCATGCCCTCCGGGAGGTCCTCCATCGGGCATACACACACACACACATCCACACATACACTGGGGGAAGAAGGAGCCAAGGCCCAAGCAAAAGAAGAAGGCAGGGAAAAACGCACCCCTCAGCTCCGAGCGTGAAGGAGATGTGATCACACATGCCAAGAAGCTGGCCAAAGTAGACGCCGGTGTGTGGGCCATTGAGAAGCTCCTTCCGTCGCATGACTGCCTCCGGGCTGGTGTCATCGGCTGCCGCTGCCGCCGCCGCCGCCGCCGCCGCCGCCGCCGCATGAGCATCCCCCGCGGCCAGGTTCGGCGCTCCGGAAATGCCCAGACGCTGCATCAGGTCGGCCGTCCGGTGGATGGACGCCTCATTGTGCGAGGCAACCATGAACTCCACCTCCGGATACCGGCGCAGGGCCAACAGGGTGGCATCGGATGCCGGATCCGGCACCGGGCCGCCCCCGGGGCCGGCGGCCAGCGCGACCAACCCCCGCCGGGCGGCCTTGGTTTCCAGCAGCTGCTGGACCACCGCATCATAGTGCTGATGGGTGGACTCGATGGTCGGATGGGTGGGAGTCGGCTGGCCCCGGTGGCCGGCCAGGCGGGACTCCTGCTCGAGGTAGGCCCCCCGGACGACCTTGCACGCGAAGACCGTGGCCTCGCGCGCCGACCGCACCAGATCCCGACTGAGGCGGTGCTGCGCATCGGTCAGGTAGCATTGGTACGTATTGAAGACCGTGGCAAAGGGAGCATCCGCCCGGGCCAGATCCAGCCCCGGGTCGACGGCTCCACCGGCCGAGGCCACCATCGGGGCCACCGCCGTCGCGGCCAGATGGTCCTCGGTGTCGGCGCGCGGCTCCAAATCCGCCCGACTCAGGGCTTCCTCATTGTACCGGCCAGATAGCGAAGCCCCCGGAGTGACCGACTCACTGGGCAGCGGACGCCCCGGGGGGGTGGCATCCGGCACCGGCTCGAGGCTCACCGTGCTCGACAGCGAGAAGTACGAATTGAATGGCTGCCGGGTGACATCCAGCGATTGGGCCGGCAGGAAGTCGCCGGATGCCTCCGGCGCCGGGAGCCACCCATTGAAGGCACGCTGGGCAATGCGCACCGACCGGTCGATGGCCGGCTGCAGGTAGGTCTGCTCGGCATCCACCAGGAGACGGACGCGCGCCGCGCGAGCCGCCGCCGCCACGGTGTGCAGGCGCGCATCGGCCCGGGCCAGCTCGGCCACCGAAAAGATGTCCAACCCCGGGAGCAGGGGCCCCCCGCCGCCAGGGGCCGCCTGGTCGGCCCCGTCACCCGGCGGCAGCAGGTTGGCATAGAGATCCGACAGCATGGCCAGCTTGGAGGCACTGACGTCGAAGTAGTCCACCCAGGCCAGCTGGTCGATGGCCTCCTCGGCCGGCGGGGCCCCTGGCGCGGTGGCCACATCGGCCAAACCGCTGGCCGCGTACACCGCATCGAACACCCGATCGGCCTGGGTGACAGCGGCCGCCACATCGGCCGCCGTCAGGCATGTGCAGCCGGCCACATCACCACGCACGGCCGAGCCACAGCGACACATGCCGGCCACCCAGCCAGCCCGGACGGCGGCCCGTGGCAGACGCCGGTCCAGCCACTCGGACGGCAGGTGCGCCGTGCCGGTCATCTGGGCCCAGTCTTCGGCCGTGACCGGGGTCCGAGGGGGGCTGCTGGTGGTGAAGCCGCCGGCCACGCCGGCCGCCACCGGGGCCGGGCCCAGGGCCGAAACTTGGCCACCGCCATCGGTGGTCACCATGCCAGGCGGCGACACAAGCTCCAGCTCCCCTGGATAGGCCCCCAGGGCCAGGAACACCAGCCGCGAGTAGGCCCGCTGCACGGCCACCAGGGTGTCGGACGCCGAGCGCAGGATATCCGGCCGGGCCATGGCCGTCATCTTGACCGCGGTGAAGGAGCACGAAGAGCCCGAGGACCGTTGCATCTCGGCCGCCGACGCAATGCAAGCCAGGAAGTTTTGCACATCCGCATCGAAGCCCGCCTCATCCGGGTGCGGGGCAAAGTCGCCGGGGATGCTGGCGCTGCCAGCCGCGCCGGCCCCCTTGGCCACGGCGGCCGAAGCCTCGGCATCCGCCTCGGCCGCATAGTCGAGAATGGCCCCGACACCGGCGGCACGCAGGCGCCGAATGACGGTCTCGGTTTCGGCCGCGTCGACGCCCGCGCAAAACTGTCCGAAGAAGGTCAACCGCAGGAGGGCCTCCGTCAGCCCGGCACCCAGGACCCGGTAGGAGAGCCGCAGCAGCCGATCCGACACGCGCACCAGCCACCCGATCGAGGACAGCCGGTATACGGTGAACCCGCGCAGGACCTCCAGGTCGGTCTTGCTGGCGAAGGCCACCCGCGGGCTGTTGAAGTCCAGCCCGGAGCGCTGGCTCAGTCGGAGGAGCTCCTCCTCCAGCGAGCCGGCCGCCTGCGAGGAGGGCCCGGTTGCCGGGCTGGCCGGAGAGAGGGATCGAGGCCCGGAGCCGGCGGTTGGGGTGGAAGAAGTCGCGGCCGCGGCCGCGGCCGGGGTCCCGGGCAGCCCCGGGGCCAGGGGGACGGCCGTGCGGTGGAAGTGCCGAAGTCCAAGCCGAGCCAGGCTTGGGGGGGGAGCAATGGTCGCCACATGGCGGGCAGGGCAGGTGCTGGAATCCGACCAGCGGTCACCGGCCATGGCCATGGCGGCTGGGCGCAGGACACTCATGGGAGCCGGCCGGTTCGGCGGGGGGAGCCCGGAAAAGAGACGGCGCGCGGGCCCGGCGGCCGGGCGCGCATGCGAGGCGGGGATAGCGGCGCGGCAGAGGAACGCAGCGTGCATGCTTCGTGACTGTGCAAGCAGCGCCTGGCAGGGAGAGGAGGCACGCTAAGTGCACGGCGACGGATGATGCAGAGCAGAGGACCAAAGAGGTGACGGAGGGAGAGGGTGAGCGGCCGGCGGGGGAGGGGGAACAGGGGGACGCCTCTGGCGAGGAAAGAAGGAGCGCGGGAAAGGGCAAGAATGTGCCGCACCGTCCGAGGAGGGGGGGGGGGGGAAAGAAAAGGGGGACGGCTGTGTCGGTACAAGTGAGGAGAGGCAGGAAGCAACAGAAGGGAGGAGGGGGGGGGAGAGGAACTGTGAGGTGTGATGGAGCACGCCGCCGGGGCCGGGGCTCCTGCCAGAGTACCTGAAGAGTCCACACGGGGAGGGGGGGATCGTGGCAACATGCTAGTGTCCAGGCGGCGCCAACATCCTCCTGGCCGACACCAGTCTTCCTCCCCCCCCCCCGGCATGTCGCCCGCGCCCTGGTCAGCCAGGACCTCTGACTTGCGTAGTTGGACAGCCTCCCAGTCCAAGGCGTGCGGAACAGGGGCGGGGGGGGGGGGGGGAGCGACGGGCGGCACCCCCGCCCGGTGCAAGCTTCGTTCCGCGCTCCCCAGCCTGAGGGGGCAGGGGTTGAGGGGGGGGGGGGAGACACCACCCCCGGGGAGCCCTGGATTGGCCGCGATCGACGACTGGAGGCCTGGCAGCTTGGGGGTGCTAGACCCAATCCACCCGCGCGACCGGGCCGGGGGCGATGCGACACGCGCCCCCATCTGATCGGGGGTCGGGGGCCATTGGTGGGCCTCGCCGGGCGCACCTGCTCGCCCGCAATGGGCGGATCCCCGCCCATGAGGTGCATCCCCC